AATCAAACAAAAGATGGAGGATTTTAGGTTTAGGTAAAATATTTGGCAAAGTCAGTATATTGAGGGATAATTCTTAGACCTGGCAGAATCTTCTTCCAAAACATTATATTGGATAGCTTCATTCATCTCATCCTTAACATTTTGATGTCATCAATCTTGACATATACTACTCTATCACAATATTTTTGAGATTTATTTAACAAACCCTAAACTTATTTTAAGATAAAGCTACAAAATTGATGAAATTAAAATACAACTGATATGGAGATATATAGAAGTATAGATGGAAAGATGATAGGTTTAAAACCTTAATTATGAAAAAATATATGAAGAAATTGATGAAATTTTTATGTACGATACCTGCTGTGTCAAATGTTGAAGAAGATGAACAGTACTCTGGTAACTACCTCCACCTTTTCCATTTTCAAGCGACAATGTTCCCACAGGTTTCTTTGTCTTCTCTGTTTCATTCCCATTGCTTCTAAGAATCCGTTTCGTCCCCGACATTGCACCGGATATTAAAAAGCCCTTATATTTCCAAGAATTATCCGTTAAGAATAGTGATAGAATTTGTTTCACATCTTTAAATTACTCTCTATTATGCTAAATCGAAATGGTTTAACCATTCTTTATATAAAGTTTACTATTAAAAATTTACTATGTATTATGCATAAAAAATTTACTACAAAAATTAATATGAACAAATTAATGTGAAGTACAACCTTCAAGGAGTTAAAATTGAAGGGATGCAAGTAATTTCTTATCAGCCATAGTCTAACAAATGTTTTAATTATATATGAAAATTGAAAAACCTTCTGAGATGAAATCTAACAATAAATTGACAAAATAATTATGAAATATATACGGGGAACATGTATAAATGAAAAGAGAAAGATTTGGAACCATAAATTGAGATTGTTTTTGAAGGAATCTTTCCAACTCTTGCACCATCTCCTTGCTAAGACCCCTAGATTTGTCATTGCCATCTCCACATTGAGTCCTGTTTGTATTCTTATTTGGCAATTTTACAGAAGAGATGAAGGAGCAATTAACAAATTTACAGAGATATGTTGGACAATTAAAAAAACTGAAGTTTTGAGAAGGGGTGTACACATTGACCATGAAGAAAACCTCCTAAATTTTTTCAAATTGATTGTTTAAATAAAGTTTAACAATATAACTTCCACCCCCAGTGAGTTTAGGGTTCACCAGTAGCAGCAAGAAGGTTTTTTTGTCTCTATGGGTGCAGCTAATGAAGTATTGGAATTAAAAAAATAATAATGATACCTTAATATCACTGGCCTTGAAATACTCTTGTAATATTGATTCAAGAGTGAAACTACAATGCCAAGAATGCACTCAATATTAAGATTAAACTCTTTCATGCTGTGAAATCAATTGGCAAACCACGGCCAAATCTTGAGTATGAGATAGAATTAACTAATGAAAAAACAATTGAGACACACCTGAGGTAGCCTGTGGTTGCCGTGTCTTCTTCATTGAGGTTGTCGGCCTCTGCAATTCATTGTGAATGATAGAAATGGACCATAGAATCTGGCTATGTTGGAGCACAGATCTACGGGCTATAGAAACGGACATCGGTGTCGTCTGCATCTATAAAGCACAGATCGATGATGCCAAAGAAATAGGCGCAAATAAAATCGTCGATGTCGTCTATGTATTCTACAGATCATCCCCCTTTCTCCATTGATGTCGTATCTACAAACAGTCACCTATTAAATAGTCCCCATTAACACACGGTTACGGAAGAGGATGCTGGAGTTCCCGCTCAAAAAGAACATCCTGGATTGAAACCGAAAAGATGTATGAAGAAATTGATGAAATTCAGAGGTACCATAGCCGCTGCGTCAAAGTTGAAGAAGATGATGAACAGTACTCTCGCAACAACAACCTCCACCTTCTCCTTCTTTCTCCAGTTGCTCCCTTCTCTCTGTCTTCTATGCTTCCTTCCGGTCGATACCGTCCATCGCCAGATTGATTATTACCCTGTGATGGGTTTAGTGGGTGGTTACTGGTTAGGAGTTTAGGACTTGGGCTGCGGTTTTTTAATACACATATCCCAACCGACGTCGTATTCTAATAGCACAAGTGAGCGGGAAACTTTTCCTGCGGCTACGGTAAATAGGAAGATTTTAATTAGGTGAGCATATTATAAGCTCCTTCGAGAGTTTCTTTTTGGTTCTTTACCTCGATATTTTCTTAAACCGACAAGATAGAAAACCTGGAATATGTAGGGTTTGGGTTAAGTCTTATCACTATATAATAGATTGTCACCTTAAGTTATTGACCATGAATGAAATACAACTCCCTTAACCCTATCTCCTCTCTTCCTCTTCCCCTTCCCGTTTGGTTACTACGTTTTGGCGTCTCCACAGTTACCTCTTGGGTAACAGTTCCATACTAGGGCAACTACAGACAATGACTTTTTAAATAACCAAAGGTTAGAGAAGATGTCAAAGAGTACTTTTTAAATTAAAATGTATATAAAAGATGTATTTGTTGTCACACAAATATTTAAAAATGAGCAAATGTTATAATGTGTGTGTCACAGGCATGTGAAAGGAACAAGACTAAGATTCACATACATCAAACATAAGTAAAAAATTTATAGAGCATTTTTCATTAAAAATTTACGGGCGGAGCATTTTGTTTAACAGAATTGACCAAATTAAAAACTATGAACAACTTAAACATTGAAGTGATTATAAGACAATCTTTCTAGAAAATCTTGAAAAGTATGAACACATAAATTTGATAGAGCCTTCTTCGTGCATTCTTACATGCTCAATTTTTTTATAATCCAATTATCCAAATGACAGTTCATTCAAAAAAATCCTAATTTGTATGTAGCAAATTCAAGAAAAACTATAAATACCTTGAAATGAATAGAAGTTGAGTCGAATGTTGGTTGCCGGAAGTTGGTCGTAATTCTGGTACGAGAGAGATAGCGATTGGATACCGATAAATTAATTATATTGTGAGAGAGAAACAAAGATTAAAGGAGAACAAAAAAAAGAAAAAAAGGATAAAAAGAAGATGAAGAAAAAGAAGAAGAGAGAGGGGGTGTTCTACACTTCTACCGCGGAAAAGAGAGAATGGAGAGAATTTTTTTTAGATTAGGATAAAAAGAGTTACACAAACAAACACAGACGATAATTAGTTGCGCGTCACAGACAATTATCGTCTCTCTTTGTCTGTGTGAAGCATGAGTGCACCCATGGTAGCACCCATTTGGTGGCGCCTAGCATTTTCCAATCTCACAATACTTGTAAAACAAAGACTCGTTTGCAATTGAAAATAAATGTGGCCGTGTAAGGCTCTCTTCTTTTGAACTTTGAACGTTAACTCTTAACTTCTACTCCCTCCAGTCCTTAAAACTTTTCTTATTTTTACTTTTTAAATCAAAACAGTGGCACTCTTTGATCATAAATTAAACATAATCTAAATAAATAAATGATATAAAAATTTAATATATCAAAACTATATCCTAAGATAAACCCAATTATATTGAGTTTATATTATAAACAAATATATTTTTTTCACAATTTGTGGTCAAAGTAGGTCACTGTTTGACTAAAAAAGTCAAAACATGAAAGGTTTTTAGGATCAGAGGGAGTAAGATTTTCCAACTCTTTCTAGTTTCTTCCAATTCCGATCCTTCCAATTTCTTCCAACTCCTTCCAATTTCACCCAACTTCTTCCAACAATAACTCAAAAAAATTTATTTAGATTTATTCTAATATATTATTATTATTATTACTATTATTATTATTATCTCCATAAAATAAAAATTTGATTTAATGTCACAATTTATTTAAAAAAATGTCTTGGATATAAATTTTAGGTACCATTATTGAGTCATGTAAATTATTACAATCTTGAATTAATTAATTTCTAATTTCCTTTTTGATTTTTAATTTTCGTTAACTATGTTTTTTGAAATGTTGATCAAAATAATTGTGTACTTCATTTTCTTTCATTACATGACTTTTAAATGTGCATACAGTAATAATTTTTAGGGTTGAGATAGCTTATAATATTTTACAATCTAGTTGAGTTTTATTGAAGAAATGGTGTGTAACTTTTGCAGTACGACTATGTTAAATGTGTTTCCATTAATTATGTTTCTATCAAGATTAGATCTCGCAAAACGGTCAGTCAGGTCGGGTTCGGTATAATCAGGTTCACGTTATTTTGGGTTCGGGTCACTTCGGGTTTGGGTCTAAGAGTGCTTGTTCATGACCCAGAGTTATCAGGTTCGGGTTGACCCATCGGGTTAAGAGGCGTATTTAAAAATTAAATTTTTTTCTATTTAAAGATCATGTGATCCGAACATTATTCAAAACAAAATACGAAACCATAAAAGTTTGCAGTTTTATTTGCGACATATCAAAAGAGAATTGCAATATACCCAAAAAATCACCTTTTTCCAGCATACCAAAAAAATTGCATTAGATGAAAAAGAATTGAAGATTCTTTCAACATTCCCAAAAATATATAAGCATTATAGAAAAATTGATATTTTTGCGCCATACCAAAACAAAAGAAAAGAATTAAAATTTGAGTTACACGTAGGAGCAATTGAAGACGATGAAATAGGATTAAAAATTCCACTATTGATCTTGTGTCTTCTCACTATTTTGATTGAGTCGGTATTTAATATCGACAAATGGTGGAAGAATGATACACACACACACACACACATATATATAAAGAGAGAGAGAGAAGGGAGAGAGACACTAGAATGTTACTAGATTTAGATCAGGTTTTACGCCTTTTGAGTTTTGAGTAGTCTAATGGGTATATCATATTTGAAATTAATATATAAAACTAAATAAATTATAAAAATAAGCAATTAAGTGCATAACCCGTCGGGTCAAACCCGACCCGACCCGTTCTGACCCGAAAATTTAACGGGTCTTCGGGTTCGGGTCGCAAAATTGATGTTCAAAACCCGCTAATTTCGGACAGGGTTTCGAATTAATAACGTGTCGGGTTGAATTTTTCCAGGTCTAATCAACATTATTCTATATGTTAGCCAAAAAACATAGAATAAATAGAGTTTTAATTGATTGTTAGTGTTATTTCTATAATATGTTGTGATACACTTTCTACCTAAATATGGTTGAATTACAATTTTATACGGGGGATTTGTTTTAAATAAAAAATTGTTAGTGTATTAGGCTAATCTAAATCATTTTTTATAATTAAATAAAATATATAAATAATATTAAATCAAGGTTTTCTGTTGTAAAATTAATATCGTTAATCTCGGGTCATTTTTATAATTATTTTAATATGATGTAAGATTATTATTTTTGTTTGGTCGAGGCACCATTATATTATTTTAATATAGTTTTTCTTTCAACTAAGATTTATAAACAGTATTATTTCATTTGTCTTCTTATTTTTGTTACATATATTAGGGACATACAACTGGAAAAAATGAGAAGTTATAATACTGATATTGAGTAAAAATTACAAAAACGATTTGATATAAAATATTATGGCATAAAAAACAAAAGGAGATTAAAACTTTTAAAAAGTAGAGTACACATTTTTTTAATAAAATACGAAATTTATAAAATAAAATAATTAAAGAAAAATATAATTAATATTTCAAAAAATTATTTTTTAATCTCTTTCAATAAATTTCCAACTATTTCCAGTTTCTTCCAACTCCTCATTTTTTCCAACTCCGTCCAGCTTTTCTAACTCTTTCGAACTTCTTTCAACTACTTCTAGTATCTTCCAACCACTACCAGTTTCTTCCAACTCTTTCTTTTTTTAACTCTTTCCAGTTTGCTCCAACCAACTCTATTTTTCCAACCAAAAAGAACAGAGCCTAAGTATGAGATATGAAACAAAAATACCAATTCTCTCCTCAATGGGCTCTTATTGTGAAGTCAAATGAAGCGCCATATCCCATACACCGGGTAGCTAATTAAATAGAAACAAGAATCAAGAAAATGTCTTTCATAAGTTTCATTGCAATTATCAAGAGGAACAATCTCCACATGAAGGTTCTGGTCATTTCATTGTGAATGTAGTCCGCAAAAATTTCTCTGATACCTGCACGTACGTGCAAGAAGATGGCGAGATTTGCCACGAGCAAGGAATAGGCATTTGAAATTATCATAGCAAACGGAACAACTACAATAGCTTTTTGCATGGAGCTGCCCTCTCTTTTCGTTCCACCCTATACATACATCATGCCAAGTAATGATTTAGGAGAAATGGGAATAATGAAACAACATTCGCAGCAAGTCGGTTTCTAATTTTGATGAAGAAGGGAAACCTAATGTAATTCATACATTTCTCTTCAATTGTCAAAAATTCAATAATTAAGATCAGCCTAATGCCCTATTTGGTATTGCATAGAAAATTACCGGATAGAGGCGTTGAGATTGATTAATTAAATCAAAAAAAAGAAAAAAACAAAAGGAAATCAAATATGTTGATTTTGGTGATCTTGCTTTCGGCTGAGATTGGTGACCATTTATAATCTAGCATGATTTTGTTGACCTTCTCTTAGATTGCATGATTCCTGTTTGGCTATAGAACATGGAGCATCGTGCAATGAATGAGTGGGTGGGTTTTCACATACGACTAAGAGAGAGAAGGACACTGAAGAGGGAGGTGCTACACAAGATCACCAAGATTGTGTGAGTGTAGGGAATAACTGTTATTTAGTTACTCGGAAAAATACATCCGAGCATAGAGTGTAAAAAGTCTGTTTATTAGTGTCTAGTATTTAGCACTTGTAAACAGGAAGAGTTTTTTGTGTATCGTTCTAAAATAGTGAAGATATAATTTCTCTCAAATTTTCTTCTTGTATAGTGCTTATTTATTTTTCACGTTCTTGATATTTTAAGAATCTTATGCACTTAAAATCCCAACAATTGGTATCGGAGCCAAGTTACATTTGGGGCGGAGGGATTTCTAAGTGGTAAGAGAAGAAAATCAAAAAATTTGAAAAATGCCATCAGTAAGAAGTTTGAATGTTTCTGTCGAACCTTTCGATGGACGTGGCAATTTTACTTTGTGGCAACAACGAGTAAAAAGTGTTCTTACTCGAGAAGGGATAATCAAAGCTCTGAAGGTGAAGGTTTAGAGGACAGAACAAATGACAGATGCTGAGTGGGCCAAACACCAGAAGAATAACAAATTGGAAAATTTATCGGAAAAAGAGTGGGAGGATTTGAAGGACATGGCAACAAGTACAATATACATATGCCTTGCAAATAATACTCTTCGGGAGGTTCTCGGTTTTACGGACTCGATGGATATTTGGGACAAGCTGGAGAGCTACAAGTCAAAATCGTTGACAAGTAGGCTATACTTGAAGAAACGATTGTTTGGCCTCCAAATGGCGGGGGAAGCTAACTTTAATGGCCACTTAGATGAATTCAACAAGATTACAACAGAGTTGGAATCCATTGATGTGAAGATTGAAGAGGAGGACAAGGCGTTGCTTTTGTTGGCTTCATTGCCTTCGTCTTTTGACAACATCGTGACCACGCTCTTGTTTGAAAAAGAGACCTTAAAATTTTATGAAGTAATTGCTGCTTTATTGATGAACGAGACTCGACGGAGTGGCTACGGGGTATCAAATGACGGTCAAGCTTTATAGCAAAAGGAGCTGGTCGGGAACCAGGACGGTCTAAAGAGATGGGCGGTGTGTCCCGACGCTTCAAATCGAGTAGTAAAAGGTTTCGGTGTTACTACTCCGATGAAGAGGGTCATGTCAAAAGGGATTATTCGAAGAGGTGGAAGGAAAAGAATGTAACGCCCCAAAACATATCCTAAAATTATTAATGAACAATTATTCAATTAATCAAATTTATTTTGATTAAAATAAATTATTGTTGGGCTTTTTGGTGAAATAAAATGTGTTTTGATATCCAATATAACAATCTGGATAAGTCTCATCACTCTATTCTTAAAAGCAGGGGAATTATTTTCTCGCCCAATGCACTCATCTCCTGCTATATCAAGGGACAACCAAGATTTACGGCTATGATTGGTTGTGTAATATTACCTATTTAGAATGATATAAATTAAAGGAAATTTCACCTAATTCAATGTTAGGAAACAAATGCATAATTACTTGATTGTGATAAAAAGGGAAGGGGCTAATTAGTTTCCTATTAAATTTCGCCTAATTACTTGATTGTGATAAAAAAAATAAGGGACGGATTAATTATTTGTAAGTGATATAATAAAAAAAATTTGTCCATAAAAAATTTGTATAAATTGGAAGTGATATAATAAAAAAAATTTATTACCATTCAACTAAAAATAATATTTGTCCATAAAAGGTAATAATCACGTTAAGGTGTAAATTTATTAATGGTTGCATTAAATTTACAGTTTCGTAATTTATATAATTTCTAATTAAGAAACAAACCATTTTAATCATAGAATGTTATATTAATATTGATATTGATACACATCCCGATTAATTGGGATATCACGTTAAGGTACGAATTTGTTTCCTTTTCGAAAATAATCTTTTTGTATAAATTATCATCCCGTCCTATGCTTTGTTCGGGACATATTTACGAAATTGACGATTGACGATATATTGTTCTTGACTTTTAAAACAAACACATGTAAAACCAAAAATGGGTGTGTGGGCAACTTTGGACAAAATTGATGATGGTTTAGGCCCGTTCATGGTAAAAGTGCAAGCTGTAAGGGTTTATTGAACCGCAGCGCATGATCGCACACCGGAATCTCTTGATGTCATCTTTCATGATCAACAGGTTTGTTAGAAATTTTTTTCGATCCAGATTTATTATATTTATTAAACAAATCATTGTTATAACAAAAATAATCATTTCTTGATTTACAGGAAAATCGGATTCATGCACGGACAAAAGATCCGAATATCAAAAAATTCGAAGAACAAATTGAAGAAAATCAGGTTTATGGTTTTACCCGGTTCAATGTTCAGCGCAACTTCCAGAACACTAAGACAACCTCCCATCCTTTTATGATAGTGTTTTTTGGAACAACCAAAATTCAAAAATTATCTTCAGACTTTTTCCAAATTTCCGATACAAATTCATGTCATTCGATGATATCAAATTATTGCCTTTTGATTGGACGACATTTTGTTGATTGGTGAGTAAATTATATAATGTTTATATCGAAAAAATTTTATATGTTAGTTATACATTAAATAAAATAAATATTATATACTATTATTTTAATCACAGATGTCATTGGAAAAGTTGTTAGCCGTACCATGCCAGAAGAATACATGGTTAAATGTGCTCCCGAGAGGATGATGGAGGTTGTATTGGAAGACCATAGGTATTCAAAAACATAAATGTTTCATATTTGATTTTGATTTTTTTGCCAGCTTTCTACTATTAAAAACTGTAATCAATCTTTGTTCAGGGAAATCCGTCTAGATTGTACGTTGTGGGCTCATCATATTGATAAAGTGATCAAGGGACTCAATGAAGGATTGACAAATCCACCAATTCTTTGTTTGCAGGTGGTGAAACCTAGGTGATATAATGGTATCACTATTTAAAAAAATTTAACACTATTTACTTTAAAAAAATTCTTTCATGCCTAATGATTGCGATAATTAAAATTCAGGAAAAGTCTATGTTTCTACCTTTTATAATGTGAGTAAAGTTGCGCTTAATGAAGACTCAGACGAAGTTAAAGACTTCAGAAAAGAGTAAGTTAATATTTTTTATTTTAATTGTGGTTTCAATTTTATATAATGAAAAGCATATATATATATATATAATGAAAAAGATTATAGGATGGAATTTTTCATAATATTTTGGCTGAAGGAAAAATTGATGAAGGTTTTGGCTCATTCATGTATACAATCATTAATAACACTTAATAATTAAAACATTATTCAAGGAGAAATTACCATCTGGAAAAATGATCTAATTAAATAATAATTAAAATATTACATTCATACGGAGGTATTAAAAATGGTTTAATGCGTAGACACTAAAAAAGTTTTCTATAATTTTTTCATTTTTATTTTATTCCTACGGAAATTACTATTTGGAAAAGTGTTTAATTAAATAATATATCATTCGAATTAGATGGCCATTTAATAATTTAATAATTGACCCTTTAATAAATCTTCCTACATCCAGAAATTACCATTTGAAAAAATCCTTTAATTAAAAAAGGAAACGTAGTCACGCATTTAACAGAAATGTTTAAATGTAGACGTGCCTTTTATAACACTTCCTACATCCGAAATTTAATATTTTAAATAAAATATCTCCTTTAATATAATATCTCCTTTACTATTTCTTATGATTTTTATTATTTTTAAAAAAATTGTTTTCATTTTACGAAACATTTTTTTGTATAAATGTGGACACATGCCGTGTTGGGAAAAAAATATCTCATTCTCGATGATAATTTTTTACGCTTTTAAATACACACACAAAAAGAACCATGGGTATGTTAGGGATAAATTGATGAAGTTATTTTTTTATTTTAATTATGGTTTTAATCAAACAAAAAAATAAATTTGCTTTTATTGTACCATACACGTTATAAAATAGCAAATGATCTAAGCTATTTGCAGGACGGACCGTGCAATTTTGGCTCCAACGTTGGATGTCGTCGATTCTATAAATGAATATATGACATCGATGAATCCCATGAGGAATTACGCACTTATCTAATTCGAATTTCTTTAACGACTTGCATACTCCTAAGTTCTTGAATAAGATTCGTGCTTCCGGAGTACAAAATCATGAGCTCATTTTGAAGGTAGGCACTCTGATTATGTTACTAAGAAACATTGATCATTCGATGGGTTTGTGTAATGGTACTCGATTAATAGTAACTCGGTTGGCTAATCACTAAATCCAAGGAAAGATTTTATCTGGAAGACACATGGGTCAAGAAGTTATTATTCCAAGACTATCACTGGCATCATCTGATGCAAGAATATCATTCAAGTTTTAAAGAAGACAATTCCCTGTGGTTACTTCTTATGCAATCACGATTAATACGAGTCAAGACCAATCTTTAAAACACGTGGGATTAATGTTATGGAAACTGTTGAATTAATATGAATTAATGGATTTCACTTAAGCAATAGAGGTGAATACATGTGAGTATATATAGCTAGAGATCCTAACACAATTAGGATTAGGATTCTTCTAATATGGTAACTAACTATAATACAATTCTACTATAACTAGGAATATTACTATAGTGTCTAACATCCCCCCTCAAGCTGAACGCCGTGAAACGAGTGGAAGCTTGGAAACCAAAAGAGTATAGCGTGGGGTCGGTAAGGCTGCTCTGCAGACGGAACATGCGACACAGTCATTTGTTCTGCAATGACCTGTTCCCGCACAAAATGGCAATCGGTACCCACATGCTTCATGCGTTTGTGAAAAACTGGATTCTTGGTTAAACAGATAGCAGACTGATTGTCACAATAGAGATGTGGTGGAGGGAGCTTGAGCTTCAGAATGTCAAAGAGATAGGAGAGCCACATCACCTCAGCAGCAGCAGCCGAGAGAGCCCGGTACTCGGCCTCGGTTGACAATCGGGATACACGACTTTGTTTCTCTGTGCTCCAGGAGATGAGATTCGAACCAAAATAAACCAAGTAACCTGTAATAGAGCGGCCATCCGTCATATCATTTGCCCAATCAGAATCAGAATAGGCTTGCAGCATCTGCGATCCCTTCCGAAAGATTAATCCCCGATCAATTGTGCCTTTGACATAGCGTAGGATACGGGTCAACGACTGGAAATCCCGTTCTGTAGGAGCATGCATACGCTGACAGACATGATTTACCGCAAAC